CCATAATAAATAAATAAATAAATAAATATTTTTAAAATTTCAGGGGGAAAAAAAGCTTGCATACAGTAATGCACACCTGAATCCCAGCTGCAATCAGGAAGATCAGAAGTTCACAATCATCCTTGACTGGGTGGTGAGTTTGAGGCCAACCTGAGCCACATGAGACCCTGTCTCAAAAAAAAAAAAAAAAAAAAAGCAGAGAAAGGCTAGAGAGATGAGTCAGCGGTTAGGAGCACTGGCTGCTCTTACGGGGGACCTGGATTTGAGTCACAGCAACCACATGGTGACTCTAACCATCTGTAACTCTAGTTCCAGAACATTTGACACCCTTCTCTGACTTTCAGAGTGCATGTATGTGCACTTCATAATATGGTACACAGACATAAATGCAGAAATATACTCATATGTGCAATAAAAATAAATATTTTTAAAGTGATTGAAGTATCTACTTTAAGTTAAATATCTCAATAAAGTATTTTGGTATTGAAACAATACAAACAAGTTACAAGGAAAAATAAATTTGACAGAAACTTGTAAGCTACCACCTTGCACCCATTTGCCCCTACCTGCTGCCCAAACTCTCATTGCCACATCTGGAGCAGAACCCACCCACCCCAAGATTCTTAAGCATGTTGGAGAAGGGTACTCTCTATATCCAGCAGCCCGTACTGCTCTTGGACACACGCAGGCTCAAGTACCCATGGGGCAGGAGTGTTCTTCCCTTCCCCAGGTGGACTCATAGCTCCTGGAACATGTGGTATTAAGAGCCCTACACTAAGCTGGGTGGTAGTGGCATTTACCTTTGATCCCAGCACTCAGAAGGCAGAGGCAGGCGGATCTCTCTGAGTTCAAGGCCAGCCTGGTCTACAAACTGAGTTCCAGGACAGCTACATAGAGAAACAGTGTTTCAAAAAACCCAGGAGAGAGGGTGGGGGGGAGTCCTCATTATGTTGCCACCTCAGTTGGTGGAGTCCTATTGGTCTGGGGGGAGGCTCTGGTTATTAGGAACTTGTGTTCCTCTACCTACTTAGGAAGTGAGAAAATCCACCCTGCCTCCTGTGGGCGGGGCTCTGGGTAGAAATGGAACTTGGAACCTGCCCATGTGTGTCCATATCCGGGAGAATCTGAAGATACACCATTGTCATTCATGGTCCTGGGCTGGCTGAAAAAGCCCATCTGCACCCCTGTGTGGTCCAGGGTCCTTCTTCATCTCCCACCATGACCCACAGCATCTGTGGGAATGCCAGACTGGTCCCTCATAGCAAGCAGGAAGGCTCCACTGAGCTGGAGCCTGGGCTTTAGGGTACCACCCATGCAGCACCAGAAGCAAAGGTCCAGAGACTCAACTAAAGGATGCTAAGGATGCTTAACTCAGCCCCCGCCTGCTGATGATGCTGCCAGCTGAGGCACACAGGTGACTCCCATCTCCCAACTGTGCATTCCTGAGCCAGTCAGCTCATCTCTCACCTGGTAGGGCTAAAGTGGCCTACTTTTAGGATTTCAGGGGTACAGTGACCCCAGGTCAGCACCCAGCAAGCAAGCTGGTCTCTTTCCCCCACTTTTGGTGGTGGAGTATAGAGTGAGTTTGGGGCCAAGAGGCAGGGACATCACAAGGCACTGTGCCTGGCCCTCCTCTCCCTAGCTCTCTCTCTCTAGGTGTAGGGGCTAGAGGCAGAGGTCCAGGCCAAGTACAGATCAGATGAGGAGGGAGCTTCCGGAGCAGAGGCCCTGGAAGCAGTGTTAGACAGGCTTGGGCCAGGTCTGGGGGTGTCCAGGTCAGGGAGTGGGGACTGGAAGAGACCAATTAGTCAAACGGCTGCAATTGGCCATTTGGAAGCAATTAACAGGGTGTCCATTACCATATTATGCCCCCCACCCCCTGCAAGCTCTGCTAGGCCCTGCTCTGTAAGAGGTCAGAGCCTCAGCCCAGCCCAGGCAGACTGCAATGGAGGCCCAGCTCTAGCCCAGCACAGCACACACTCAGGCTCCCTCTGCTAAGGGGGGCATTTGAGACCAAGCCATGGGTCCACCCATAGCCTGAGGGAGGGTCTGGGGACTCCCAAGGCCAAGAAGGTCAGTGATTAAAGGCTCAGGGAAACCTCACTGAACAAGAGAGGGCTGTAGGAAGCAGGCCAGGGGGTGGCCAGCAGTACAAGCCCACCTTTACCAAGGCCTCCATCCCGGGAATGAAACTGGGTGGGGTCTGAGGTAGGGGTGAAGGCAGTTCCTTCCAACTATAGAGTGGAGGGTGGGTAGAAGGACCCAGGAACCCTTGCATAGGGCCCAGAGGAAGACCCTGGGCCAGGAATGTGGGTGCCTTAGGGACAACTGAGGAACAGGCCAAAGTCAGCCAGGACCACAGAGAGGGCCTGGGCCAGATCACCTACTGGGCCACTGAAGTCCTTTATTCTCAAAGGCACCTGAGGTCCCTATGGTGGTGCCACGATCTGGTCACTGATGGTAGCAGTGGCAGGAGTCTTGGTAGGGGTCGCTCCACTGAGCTTCTGATCTGGCCTTAGAATTTCACATACGGGGGACGTCAAAGTCTCAGAGAGTTACTCTGTATGGGCCAGCCAATGTGTCAAGGAGAGGCAAGCCCATTCATACACTTCAACTGTGTATTTAGAGAATTACAGTGCAGGGGCTGTCCAGGGGAAGACACACTGAAGGACACACCCAACAGGGAACCTGGGGTCCAGGCATGGAGCAGGAGGAAGGCTCTGAGTCCAGGCTGTCCAATGGGATTCCTCTGGCTCCTCCCAGACACCAACAAAGGAAAACTTCACACCAGTCCCCCCAGACCCCCCCTTTCTCTCTCTCTCTCTCTCTCTCTCTCTCTCTCTCTCTCTCTCTCTCTCCTTCCCTCTTTGTATGTATGTGTGAGTTATGTGAATGTGTTTAAGATTTATTCATTTTTATGTGTATGGGTGTTGTTGTTGGTGGTGGTTTTTTTTTTTTTTGACTGCCTGTAAATATTTGTACCAGATATACCAGATGCCTGATGTCCTCAGAGGCCAGAAGATGGTGTTATAGACATTTGAGAGCCACCATGTGGTTGCTGGGAACTGAACCCAGGTCTTCTGTAAGACCAGTCAGTGCTCTTAACCAATGAACATCTCTACAGACCTTTTCTTAGCTTTGTTTTGTTTGTTGTTTTTAAGACAGGGTTTCCAAGCTGAGGTTGACATCAAATCTGCGTTGTGGTTGCGGCCAGCAAGGAAGTCCAGCATCACCTGCTTCCACATCACCAGTGCCGAGCTGGCAGGCCTGTGCCAGCACACCTGGCTTCAAGGCTGCTCTTGTCCAGACACAGAGCAGTAGCTGGCTCCAGGAGCTGCGCTAGAGGCATTCAGGGAGATGTCCTCCTGATTCTTCTGGGACATCTTAGGAGCTTGGGCAGCCAGCATGTGACCAGCCCAGTGCTGGTTATCAAGACACAGGGCAAATTGCCCGGTCCACCCATCTGTCCTGACAGCTGTCCCTGCTCCCTGTAAAGCAAGTTCCATTCAATGCTGACTCCAGGGCTTTAGCAATTCTGTGGCTCAGTTTTTAGACTGCTCAAGAGTTCTCAGGAGCTGGCCCTGGGGCAGAGACCCTCCAGACCTGAGCCAGGACAGAGCTGTTGCGAGATCACTGAGGATGCTCAGCTGTGGGGGACATGTGTACTCAGGATGCTGGAGAGAGCTCATTGAGGACCCGCTGCCCTGTATATAAGGTCTCAGGGTTGATAATGCCCCAGTGTGTGCTATTAACAGCTCTGTATCAGGGAGCCCCCCCCCCAACATTTCTCAGCATCTCACATGTCATCTGACTCTTCCTGGAGCTCAGGATCAACTTAGGAAGCAATGCTGTGACCCAGGCCACTGGACCCTCCAGCTAACTCAGCAGAAAACGCCTATGTGAGGTTCCTTGATGGCTGGAGGAGCGCTGGAAGCACAGGCCACAGAGGTGGTGTGGGACCTTTTCTGGCACCTCAGGAAGTCTTTCTCTGAGGCCCCTAGCAGATAGGGAACTGAAGTCAAGAGCCCAGGGACTCTTACTCAGCCTGCCAGGAGGGTATGCTGGGGTCCTTTGTGGCATCTTCTCCCGACTCTCTCTCTCTCTCTCTCTCTCTCTCTCTCTCTCTCTCTCTCTCTTGCCCCTCTGCATCTCGGTATTTCTCCACCCCTCTCATCTCTCTTTCTCTTCTAGTGGATTTGCCACCTGCCTCCCCTACTCCCATTTCCATCTCTGCCTGCGTCTCCAGAGCTCCTGGACTCTCTGACTCTATTGTCCCTGCTCCTATCTGCCCACTCCGCTCTCTGGACCACCGTTGGGATAGACCACTCCTGCTCAAGGTGTGTAAACTTCACTTGGTGCCTTTCAGTCAGTTAGGGAGTTACAGGATAAAGTGACCCTGGGCCCTTGGGCCACAAGACTAGGCAGCTAAGGACAGCTCAGCGGCTCATGTGAGAAGCCGCGACCTGCACAGACCCAACCCTGGGTTCCCCACGCGCCGCCCTCCGCAATCGCTCTCGATTAGGCGCCGCCTTTCATGAGCGTTTGTCAGCTAGACTTCCCCGCAAGTTGTTTGCGCAGACATCAGTCATCCGCGGTCCCATTGTGCACCCAGGATTGATGTAAGGCGGGAGGGGGTGGCAGGGCCTGGGGCGGCTGCCTTTAGGCCTCGCTCTATAATTTTCCGAGGCATAATTGGTCTGGGGGCGGGGCGGGGACCTTTCAGAAGCGGGAGGGGGTGCGCAGGGCGCGCGGCGGAGGAGAGGCTGCCCGACGGCGCTGGCCGGGGCGCTGTGAGCAGGCGACGCCGGGCCTGAGCCCCGCGCCCCGCCGGGGACCACGGCCGCCTTTTGTTGCCGAGCGCCCTTTCTTCGGAGCTGTGTGCGGCAAGGGAACATTCCCCCATTCCTGGGTGAAAATTCGAAGTCTTTTCTCTCCACCTCCCTCTCCCTTTCTCCGCATCTTCTCTCCAGCCTTCTTTCCCTCTCTCCACAGTCCTTTTCTCCATCTCCCCTTTCTCCCCATCTCTCCTTGTCTCCCCTCCCTCTTTCTTTTCCTCCCTCCCCTGTCCCCCACCTCTTCCCGGTCTTCCTCTCCCTCTCTCTCCCTCCCAGCCACAGTCCGCACAGCCTGGCGCGCGGGCGTGTGCTCCCAGCGCCGCTCCTTCCGTGAGCCCCGCGCTGGCGCAGCCGCCGCCGCGGGCGGGCGCGATGCCGGGATGGGCCTGATCTGGCTTCTGCTGCTTAGCTTGCTGGAACCGGGCTGGCCCGCGACGGGGCCCGGGACACGGCTGCGGCGGGATGCGGGCGGCCGTGGGGGCGTCTACGAGCACCTCGGCGGGGCGCCCCGGCGCCGCAAGCTCTACTGCGCCACCAAGTACCACCTCCAGCTGCACCCCAGCGGCCGCGTGAACGGCAGCCTGGAGAACAGCGCCTACAGTGAGTGTCCGGCCAGAGGTGGGCGGGAGGGACAGGCGGGCTCGGCCCCCTGTCGCGGCGTCCCAGGTGGGAGCAGAGCTGAAGTCCATCCGAAGACTAAGCCTCGGTCCCAGCTACAGATCCCATCTACATGCCCTGCCCTTCCCGCTCCCCCAGGGGCTGCGCGGGAGGCGAGCACGATTCTGACAGGTTTTATTTCTCAGTGAAAAGCCGCTGGATAAGGATTTATCGCCCTCTTTATTGTTTTGACGACCCCGGGGCGCATGACCAGTCCCTTCCGTCCTCTTTGCTCTCAGCCGGTGCGCCAAGGACACTTCCCTGGGCAGAGCTTGGTTTTCGCGACTAGGCGTCCGGCGACGGGCTTATCCCTCCCTTGTCCTGCGCTCTGTAGGAGAGCACGCGACAGGACAGAAAGCCGTCTCCGCGTATTTTGGATGCAGCCAGCACGCACCTAAACGTCCCGCGGCTGGATGATACCTAGCGCCAATTCCCAAGCACTGCAGGATTTGGCTCCGTGGGTGCAGTACACGCGAGCCGAGCTCGGCCTGAGTGTTGCGCGCCGCGTGGGAGGGAGGCCTGCAGAACTCACCGCGCCCGGGGCTCAGGAAGCCGAGTGGGGGGCGAGGGCGGCTGTAGGAACCGCAGCTTCCTCCTTCAAAGCCGCAGCCCCGCGGGGGCGTCCTGGGGACCAGCCCCGACCCGGCCTGGAGCGCTGGGCTCCTCACGAACACTCCCTCCCCAGTTGCCTCGTCCAGGCGGGCTCCAGATGCAGAAGAGAGGCACCTTTACAGTCTTCCCAGGGTAGGGGGTGTGCTCATCTGGCGCAAGCTCTAAAGGTCGTCCCTTGCATCCTTCCAAACCGTGTATAGGGTAGGACCCAATTGGTCCTGGTTATCTGGACTATGTTAGGGCCCAGGCGGGCGGGCATCAGAGATGCGCTCCCTGGAAAGGGAGTTAATCCTCAAACCACTATCCCAGGGGACATTGCCCTCCCCTCCCAAAAGCACTATCCTGTTCACAGGAAAGGCGCCTGGAGGATTTTTGTTTGTTTGGTTTTATATTTTATTTATTTTGTATGCCACGATATGTATGTAGATCATTGAAGCACTTGCTGGAGTCGGTTCTCTACTTCCACCATAAGGGTCCGACCGAACTCAGATGGGCAGTCTTGGCGGCTACTCAGCCATCTGATCTGGGGAACCATTAACTTTTATACCTACTCTTAGGCCTGGATGCGCCCCGGTCACCTTCCCTCTGCACCTAGGCTCTTCTACCCCAGGCTACCTTTCTGCACCCATGATTGGATCCATTGCCTGACAGTGTGGGTAACTCTCTGGCTGGGCTGCATTAAGCACTGGCTCCACCAGGAGTCTCAGACACCTCCTCTCCTGGGGCTCCCTCTTCCCCAGGGTTTGGATCGCCCAGCCACTATGTGTGACCTTGGACAAATCACTTGTCCTCAGCCTCAGCTTTCTAGAACAAGCCGGTTCACAAGGGGGCACCCAATACAAACTGAATTGATCTGTGTTACACCCAAGATGCCCGATGGGGCAGAACACCCCCACTGTGTCTTCTCCTGGGGTTAGGATTAATGTCTTGGGCACAGTGGCTGAATGTCCCCTTCTTCACCTACTGTCCAATGCTTTCTTCCTACTAGGACTTCCAACCCCTCCACCATGACCTGCTTGGCGTCATGGCTGCCCTCCTGTCCCAGCTTCCTAAGCCCATGAGAGTTAGTGCAGGCTGAGGTTCTGCTCAGGTGGGGCAGGTGACTGAACCTTCCTGACTCTTTCCAGGCATCCTGGAGATTACTGCGGTGGAAGTGGGCGTGGTGGCCATCAAAGGGCTCTTCTCTGGGCGGTACCTGGCCATGAACAAGAGAGGACGGCTGTATGCTTCGGTGAGTCCCATCCCTAGTGGGCAGGTGTAATAGCCATCTGGCTTGAGCATCTGGTTGGGGGCCAGAAGGAACATGAGCAGTAGAATGCCTGGCTTCCAGACTCAAGCTGGTCCAGGTCCCCCCTGCTTCGGAGTGCCCACCCAACCTGTCTGAAGTCAGTCTCTCTCTGAGTTACAACGGTGGAGATAGGGAACATGGCAGCAAGGTTCCAGACCTCCATGAGAGTGAATAACCCAAGATAACTGTGCAGTTGAGGGAGGAGAGATCAGGGCAAATCTGCCCTGCGTCTGTGGAAGGAGGAAGATGGGTGCTTGGCCTGTTCTCAGGGTGGGAAGGCAAGAGCCGTCTGGCTCAGGAGGGGAAGGGATGCAGAAATGGTTGTCAGCCTAGTGCTGGAGTGAGTCCTCGGCACCCATGTATCAAAACTGGCCAAAGTGTTGTCACCCCAGCACTAGAGGGGAGGAGACAGGACGTTCCCAGGCTCCCTGGTGAATCAGCCTCCATGCACATGGCCCTGGTGCCACCTGGAAGCAGGAGCTCCGGTACCTCCTCCACACTCCTGATGGACACACACCCTTGGCTGAGTGATGGGTCCCAGCTGCTGCAAAGCTGTGCTGGCGATTTCCCCACCTCTCGGACCCTGTGTCCTGTCCCACTCTAGTGTGAGCGAACCCAGCTGACTTTACATGTGAACCTGGCCCTTCCCCAGAAACTCTGCCATGAGGTGAGGTCTCAGGTGTCCTCAGTGACAGTTTATATCTTTCTGCCCACAGAAAAGAGCATAGTGGGGTGGGACCATGGCTGTGGTCTCCTCGTTTCAGGGGAGCAGGGGATGGTGAAGTCAGGGGTCCTGATGGCTGGCTGGAGTAGAACTTTCCAGAGAACACATCAGAGATGATCTCACAAACTTACAGAAAGACCTGGGCCTATATAAGGCCCCAGCCTCTTTGACCTGACTGTTGGCCTCTAAGGTTTCTTCCTGCAGGCTTGTGCCTGGCTTCCTGCATGCCCAACGTGGCTGCCCATGCACTGCCACCATGGGCCAGTGACAACCCCACAGTCCATCCCACCTCCCTGAGTTATAGATCACAGTAGCCCAGAAAGCTCAGGGATAGGAGAGCTGGCAAAAGGCAAATCCTCCCCCCAGCACAGTGAAACTCAGTGCTCTCTTCAGCCCAGCTAGTGGTCTCAGGTGACACTGGTTCCAGCTCAGCCAATCAGGAGCCTTGCTGGGCCTCCTCCTCTCTTAGCCCCATAACCATCCATCTCCAGGTCCTCAGGTGTGCTCCTTGAGTTGATACCTTCAACACGCACCTCTCCTTACCTCCTGCCGCCCAATCCCAGAAGCAGTACCTTGTCACACTGGCCTGTCCCTTCCCACATGGAGCTGCAACAACCTTGGGGTTGGATGACTGCCCTGTAGCTTCTCTGTCCTCCAGCCTGTCTGTTCATTGTCTATTATCCATCCATTCATCCATCCACTCAGCCAGCCATCTATCCACTCAGCCATTCTTCTACCTATGTACGCATCCCATCCACCCAACCATCTATCCACCCAGACATCTATCATCGACCCACCTAACCACTCAACCCATCATCCATCCATATACACTTATTCACTCATCCACCACTCATCCATCCACCTATCCATCCATACTCACTAACACACCCATTCATCCACCTCCATCATACTCTATCTAGCACACGCCAAGCACTGAACCCAGTTCAAACCTACAGCAAAAAGAGAGAACTTCCCTTTGTCCTCATAGGAGGGCAAGTTACTTGGAACAGAGAGCACAGTCTTAGGAAAGGTAGGCTGGCCAGGCTGCATAGACTTTGGGCAGGCATGGACAGATGGTCCAGGCAACCTCAGGAGGCAGGGAGGCATTGGGGAGGTGTGGTCCTATTGACATCATGGCCTCCATGGCTGTTATCTGTGGCCTCTGTCTGACAGGAGCACTACAATGCAGAGTGTGAGTTCGTGGAGCGGATCCATGAGCTGGGCTACAATACTTATGCCTCCCGCCTGTATCGCACAGGGCCCAGTGGGCCAGGGACTCGGCGGCAGCCTGGTGCCCAGAGACCATGGTACGTGTCTGTAAATGGCAAGGGTCGGCCACGCCGGGGCTTCAAGACCCGCCGCACACAGAAGTCCTCCCTCTTCCTACCCCGAGTGCTGGGCCACAAAGACCATGAGCTGGTGCGGCTGCTGCAGAATGGCCAGCCACGAGCTGCAGGAGAGGGCAGCCAGCCCAGACAGCGGCGGCAGAAGAAGCAGAGCCCAGGAGACCATGGCAAGATGGAACCCTTGTCTCCTGGGGTCGTTCCAGGCACCCATCTGGAGACAGGTGAACTGGCTGTGGCCTAAGTGGCCACCCTGAGAACTTTCTGAGGTCAACCCCCCGCAGGCACCCAGCATCATCTTGGAGGCCTGGCCTCCCCACCCTTGTCACTGGGTTGGCTGCTTGAGGGACCAAAAACTTGCTTGTCCTTGGTGGCTTTCGGAGAGCAAGGGCCAGCCACCGAGGGGTATGAGTCAAAGCCCCTGAAAGACTTGAAGTTCAAGATGTACATGGGATTACATGGGAGGGAGCTTTTGTTGCAGGGGTGACCTGCTGGTGGAGCCCAGCCAGAGGCAGACAGACGGCCCTGGCAACCTGAGGCAGTGGACACTGGAAGGGGCTGTGATTCAAACATTAAATATGTCACTCTGTCTGGCTATTTAACAGCTAGGATTCAGGCTGGGGATACCTCAAGACTCAGACTGAGACATTCTGCGGGGGGAGGGCAGGCAGCAGTCTGCAGGCTTCACTGCACTGTGTCAGGCAGGCTGTGTACACAGAAAGGGCTGAGGTGCTGCCTGCATGCGTGTGCCTGTGTTTGTGAGTTCTCATGTTTGTAAATATCCACAAGGGTGTGCAGGAGAGTGTTGCTGTATTCCCAAGAGGCTATTATGTGTGTACGAGGCATGCACACAAACTGACCTGGACTTCTGACTTCCAGGCCTCTGTGTGTGTGAGGTGTGTTCCCGAGTGTGTGTGGATCGAGAGAAGAATAGAGACTTGCTCTGTTTTAGAATCTGCTCTTTCCTTTGTGGTGATTTCCTCATCAATGTGCCCAAATGCTTGACAAGAAGCTTCCTAAGGGAAAGCAGATTTACTGTGGCTCACAGTCTGAAGAACACAGTCCCTCACAGTGAGGGGAAAGTGTGGTGATGAGGGTGGATGGAGGCTGCGGCAGCAGGAGCGTGCAGTAGCCTGCTCACATCTCTACGGAACAGGAAGCGAGAGGGGGATCCTGGGGCTCAGCAGAGAGAGATGAGTGTAGTGCCTGGCTCTTTTTCTTTTTAGGCACATGGTTTGGGGGTACAGTCTATCATAGTGGGGAAGCCATGACAACAGGACCTGAGGAAGCTGGTCACATGGCATCTACAGTCAGGGGATAGAGAGAGAAGAACGCTGGTGCTCAGCTCACTTTCTCCTTTTTATTCAGTCTGGGATCCCAGCCCATGGGATGGTGCCCCTGCCACACACATTCAGGGTGGGTCTTTCCTCAATCAAAGCTCCCTGGAAACCTTAACAGACAAGCACAGAGGCGTGTCTCCTAGGTGATTGTGAACCCAGTCAGGATGGCCATGGAGATGAAGCATCCTTCCCTAGAAGGACGGTTTCAGCAGGTGAAGCACTTCAGGCGGAGGTCCCTTCCTTCCTGTTCTTGCCGCCCACCTCCAGGGCTCTGGGCTCTCCACAGGCTCAGCTCTGCATCTTTCTGAGGGAATCTTGTCACGGAGCTGCCCCCAGCATTGGCATAGGTAGATGCAGCCCCAGTCCCCAGACCTGTTCCCTGAACTGGCATCCAGGATGACATGGTGACAGTGGTAATGGGGGTTCACTTTTCCCAGAATGAGCCAGGCACCTCAGCAGCCCTGGGGAGGGCTGGGAGGATGGGGAAGTGTCTGTTAGCTACTATTTAAAACTGACCCCCGACAGGAGTCTGGGCTACTTCTGCAGCTGACTGCCTTCTCGGGGGTTGTCCCCAGCCCTTTGGGAGGTCAGTGGCTTCACACCAGGCCTGGGCTAGGAGGGAGGCAGGAGTACATTCACGTCCTGCTCAGTTCCTATCTTGGTCGCTTGACCCCAGTTGACACAACACAACCTTTTCTAAGAGGGGTGGTACTGGGTACCAGATACGTGGTCCTTACAGGGAGGCCATCCAGGCTCAGGGAAGGTGCCAGCCCAAGCCATTAGGGTCCCGATGGAGAGATCTGGCCATAGCTGGAATGGGAGTAGGGGGCACACCCAAAGGAGACCCATGGGGGAGGCATACAAAGACACTTAGAGCATCCCACTGGTGAGATTCTGTGTGGACCAGGGGACTGAGTCAGGGTGAAGCTTCCACAGCTAAGTGGCTGGAGGCCGCCAAAGCTCCAGTAGCTGGGGGGGAGGGCACTGCAAGAGAGCCTTGAACACTTAGAAGGAGCTAGCCTCACACACTCCCGTGACCTTGAACTTCTGGCCTTTGACCTATGATGTAATACATTTCTGCTGTTTAAGCCCCCACCAGGTTGGTGATATTTTGTTTGTTTCTGGGTTTTTTGTTTGATTGTTTGTTTGTTTGTTTGGTTGGTTAGTGTGTTTGTGCGTGTGTGTGTATGTGTGTGTGTGTGTGTGTGTGTGTGTGTGTGTGTGTGTGTGGTGCTGGGCGACTGTTTGTGTTTTGGGGTGCTAGGGATGGGATCTGAGGTTTAGAACATGCCAGACAGGCCATTGAACCCCAATGCTGCTGTGACATTTGTTTCGGCTTCCCCAGCACAGTAGTACCAGGCCTGGCTGCCTGGCCTTGGGTGACCCTAAGAGGAAGAAGACCGCATACCGATGAATACAGAGAGGGGACAGACCAGCTCCCAGGTTCAAAGTCACCCCAACTCCTGGGAGTCAGGCCTCAGCCTAGGGGTAGCAGGGGCATGTCAGAAAGCTGTTTCCTCCCACAAGGGGGAACTGGAGTAGGTCAGAGCTCCAGAAGAAGAGTGGTGGGGGTGAGGTGGGGGTAAGAAGAGCCCATTCCTTCTGCCCGCCCCCACTCTCTGCAGGGAACTCAGGTTCCGTGAAAGGTCTCCTTGGAGATTTTCCCAGGGGGGTCAAACACCCGTCAGGAATGAATGGTGCAACCATCATGAGGGCCGTGGCGGTGACTCTGGGAACACAGAGCTGGACCCAGAATAGTCCTAGCAGCTTTCTGGGACAAATGAGGGAGAGCAGGGCTTGGCCCAGGTTGAAACAGTTGGACTCACAGCATCATCTCTCACTGAGGGCCCCTAGGGGGCGCAACCAGTTTCCATCCCCCCCTCCAACAGAAAAACTGCAGCCAGATGCGTGTGGAAAATTACTCTGCCTGAAAAAAAGAAGAAAACTCTAAAAGAAGGCTCAATGCTGAGTGACATAAATGGGTTCCAGGCCACATGGTCAGGATGTCAGCTCCACAAAAACCAAGTGTGATGAAGCTGCCAGGAATCAGGAGAGGGTAGGGAATGTCTTGGATGGGGACAAAAACTGCAGTCTAGGGAAAGGAGAAAGTTCTGCAGATATATGCAGGGATGGCTAAAAGTCGCTAAACTGTCCACCAGAGGGCCACCGGGCGGACAACTGAAACACTGTGATGTGGGGGCCATGACTGGCTGCAGCGTTGCTTCCAGAAGTGGCTGGGCAGCACTGCTGAACAGAACTGAGATATGGTTCAGGGGGCAGAATGTTTGCCGATCACAGGTGGAGCAATGCCGGATCCCATCCTCAGCACCACAGAAATTGGGTGTGCTGGTGTACTACTGAGAACCAGTATTCAAGAGATGGAGGGGTGGGGGAGGAGATCAGAAGTTCAAGGTCATCCTCAGCTACAGAGTGAATCTGAGGTCAGCCTGGGCTCCAGAGACCTAAGAAAGAAAGGAAAGGAGGGGAGGAGCTGGGGAGATGACTCAGAGAGTAAAGTGCTTGCTGTACAAGGTTAAAGACCTGAGTTTGAATCCCAATGCCAACATAAAAGAATAGCACTGTGATACCTGCCTGTAAGCCCATTTCTGTGCTAAGGAGTCTGACAGGAGGGTCTCCGGGTCTGGCTGAACAGCCTGGCTGAATCAGTGAACTCAACTCTAAGTTCAAAGAGAACCTGTGTCAAAAATTAAGGTGGATCTCAGCACTCAGAAGGCAGAGGCTGTAGGATCTCCGTGAGTTGTGAGTTTGAGGCTAGCCCAGCCTATGCAGAGAGTTCCAGACCTACCGAGGCTAAATAGAGCGAACCTATCTTAATCTGGGAAAAAATAAAGAGTGGAGAATGACGACAGAGGGAGGCGCTGGAGTCTACGGCTGGGCTCCGTGTGTGCTCACAGACAAACACACACACTCACATAAATGCATACACCACATACAGACACACACAGAGGGAGCTGGAGGAATGACAGAGGGAGGTGCTGAAGTCTACAGCTGGGTTCAGTGTGTGCTCTCACAGACAAGCACACACACACATAAATGCATACACCACATACATACACACGTGTGCACTCACGGGCAAGCACACACACATAAATGCATACACCACATATAGACACACATAGAGGGAGCTGGAGGAGGTGAGAGGGGAGAGAGAGAGAGAAGGAGGAGGAGAGGAGAAGTTGGGGGGGGGGAGCGCTTCAATCAGGCTGCGTTCTAGGGCTTTCAACAAGGCCACCTCTTCTCCCCAGCACCTCTTTGGCCCCTGCCCTCTCACCCTTGCCTTATGATCCCTGGCTCTTGCTCAGCTTCACCGCTCCAGCCACAGTTTGTTCCCAAGCTCCTTTGCACGTGCCGAGGGCTCTCTACCCTCTGCTTGTCCCCAGGTCGGTCCCTTCTCAACAATCGCTTCTGAGAGTATGGTCCCAATGCCACTCCTGCCCTAGCATTTTTCCCATAGAGCCTTGCAATTTACTTTCTCTAATTATTTACTTGTGGTCATCCTCTGTCAATTGCCCACCAAGGGGAGGCACTGGGCTGTTTAATTACTGATAGCCCTGGGACTTCCAGGCTGTAGCCCCATGCCTGGAACTTGAGGCATGAGCTAGACGTTTGAACATGAATGGTGGGCATGAAGGTGGCACAGACTTGCTGCTGCTGTCACTGACGAGAAAATCTTCCCAGAGACGGCAGTGGTTTTCTTGGGGCCACACAGTCAGTGAAGGACGGACTGGGGCTGGTGCCAAGATCTGAGAACTCCAAGGCCTGTCCCGCCACCTGCCTGGTGTGGAGCAGGAGACTAGGCAGTGGATCCCAGTGGTCAGAGACTGCAGCTCTTAAAACCCCAGAATGAGCTGGGAGTGGGTAGTACACACCTTTAATCCCAATA